ATGACGATGAAGAAAATGTGGGACACGCTAAATTCGCGCTACGTGATCGCTATCTTCGCCTTCCGGGCTTGGACTGCTAGTTTCCTCACTTGCTGCAACTGCTTTCATGAAGCGTGGATTAGGGCAACCCCAGTCGAAGCCCGTACTGCCTCCTCAAACATGGACAAGACCTCGAATTATTCATTCCCACTCACTAGCTTCTAACTGTAGTTATCTTTTCCGAATAGACGCGCTTTGTTCGTCTCCCATCAGTACACGCAAATAGTATGACCGCACTAACGAATTATATCTTCCTGTCTAGGTGGTTGATTTCCACCTCTCGAAGAATCCTGATGATGTTGTTGATTTAAGTCACCAGGGAGACACATAAGTTCAATTTAATTTTAAATCAAGCGATACATCATCTAATACAATCCTTGGGATATAGGTTAAGCCCCATTCTCACTATCGTTAATGCTGCTGCTTATAGACGTGGCCATGATTTGGGTGGGGGATGCTGTTCATCTACAACCGTCAGACAATCGCGAAACATCGTATTCAGTGTTGTATGTTCATGATCTTCCTCACATACGAGAAAGTTTTTACCCTCTTGACTAACTACACGGTTGTCATAAGTGTCACAACATCTGGCCATATCAGTTGCGACGATTTCAAGAGTGCAATTGAGGGGGCTTGGCGTGGTGCGGCGGAATATCTCGCGAAGGAGTAACCCTCCCTGAGGCTGTTATCAAGGTCCGGGCAGTTTAGTGGTGATGTTAAGTTAATATAGTGCATGTTAGGGTCATTCAGATACTTATGTAGTTTACGATGATACCATTACAGTAATAGAGGTGTTCTTATATGACATTTCATGTGTCGGAGAAGATAACCTCGCCGCTGTCCCCCACAAAAAGAAACCCCCCAAAAAAAGAAAAAAGGGAGAGAAGAAGAAAAGCATAAGGTAGTCTATCTATGAAATTGAGAGCATGAAGTGCGATTTGTCTCATGATACTTAATCTATTTGACTTGTGACAGTGCCCGGGCGAGTAATGCCGCAGTTTCGTAATCATGCGAGTGCCCCAACTACCTGGATCGTTATTTTCTTCTGGATAAGCAATAGCTAATCTAGCAGCACAGACTGTGCTCCTACAATCTGGCGATAAATTTCCAGAGGCAATGCAGCCTCATTCCCCGGTATCCAAGCAGATAAGCAGAATCGCCACCGCAATGGGAGATCACATGCAGCACTGGTTATGGCACGCAAGGAACACCGCCAAATCTGATATGTCTCCGGAGAACCGCACCATCCCAAAGCGCTTCGTCCGATATTATGCTCCTTTTTGCAGGTCAGCCACAGGAAGTAAGTGGATATATCGGAATTGTGCATACACCGACCAAGAGATGATGAATCCCGCAAGTTGAGCCACAGTCCATGGTCCGCCCCTGAAATGCTATATAAAGGCCCACGATATCGCACATCCACCTTTCATCATCTCATCTTCATCTTCACCATTCTAGTTCAAACACAACGCGCTTGAACAATCATCATGGAGTGCTCAACAACCTGGATTAACTCAACCACCGTCAACGAGATCGACGTCCGCAACTCCGGCGCGTTCACAACCCTACCGGTGCGGATCAGCAAATACAATGAAATCGCCATCACTGCCGCGCAAAAGCTCGCTTGTATCTGGGATACTATTCGCTGTGGCGGTATGTCGTCCCGGCCTGTCAATGTCGGAAGAAACCTGCTTCCATTGGTTGTCCCGGAGGCATTGCCAGATAGAATGGCAACGGCTGTGAAGTTGATTGAATTGGGCCACTTGTGTGATGGTAAGTGCTATCCTCATTCCTATTGCACACAACTAATAATGTATGACAGCATTTTCCGATCAATTGGACTCCCAGAGCAGGGCAGAAGTCTACAACATGCTGACCCGATGCATGGATCGGTGCTCTGTCGCTTCAGCTTCATCGTGCTCTTGCCCTAGTGCATGCAACAAGGAATTTGGCGACAGACAGGCTCAGCTGCGGACACTGATCTACGAGGTGGCTACTGAGGCTATTCAGTTCGATCGAGAACAGGGTATCCTTATTCTTGAGCTCCTCGGGAAAGCTGTCGCGCCAGAACCAATGTCATTCGGATGTAGGAAGAGCTCAGCATTTAGGTACGTCGCCGACTCCCACACCTCAAAGCCCATTTCTAACAGACCCAGAACCTTCTGGCCCATCCTCGAGTTCGCCATAGGCATGAAACTAACCGAAATGGACCGCATCGTCCTCCGCGACATCAAGACCGTAGTGGATGAATACCACATGCTGAATGACGAATACTGGGGTGCGAACACCACTACCACAGCATCCTACCAAACCGACTTTTGCAGAATGCCAAATCTCCCGTTTCAAGGAAAAGAAGGACTGAAATGCAGAATCATGGACCTCGAATCCCGCTACCGCTCTCTCCAAGCAGACATTTACGGAAAATACCCCGTCGAGTCCATGCGACTGCGCCGCTGGATCGAAGCAGCCGGAATGGCAATGGCAGGTTACAACTACTGGCGTGCCTTATCCTCATCTGGCCCCTGCAACAGCTCATCCAGCGCCTGCTCATGCTCCCCTTCCGAATGGACACGAGTCACCACCCCAGCCTCCACCATGTCCTTCTCATCACCCCCACAAATATATCCCGGTACCTACGAGCGCAGCGAATCCAAAACCCTCACCACCGTGACCAACTACATCAGCTCCATGCCCCCATCCCCTCAGTCCAGATCCTCAACATGGCCCCCTCCGCATTAAACACATGGGCCCGTGCCCCACCCCCAGCAGTCAAGTGCATCTCGTCTCTCATCACCTCTTTGCAAAACGCAACTACAACCCTAACCGACATCACCGCGGACAACACCCACCGCTACAACCAGCCCACTGCACACGCCGTCTTCGGTACCATGCAGGCTGCCAACAGCGCCTACTACACCTTCATCCAGTCGGTATCGGAGGCACGCGCCCTGGCCAACCCTGCCCTCGCCACAGACATCCTCTTGAACGGCTTCAACCGTCTATACGCCGGACACAGCAAAGAACTGAACTGGAAGTACAACGCGTGCATCCCATCCGAAGCCGAATACCTCTCCGTCGTAGACGACACCACCGGCTCTCTATACACACTCCTCGTCAAACTCCTCCAGGCTGAGAGCTGTCTCCCCTTCCACTGCAAGCCCGATCTCACTCCCTTGGCTACCTTACTCGCTCGCTTCGTCCATGTGAAGGAGGACTACCTCTCGTTCCACAACCGAGACACCCAACTGAGTAAATCCACCGATGCACGCGTCCTCTCATACCCGGTTATCCGCCTCGCCAATGCCAAACCGGACAGCCGGGCGCAGATCTCCCGATACCTCTTCGAAGGCAGCAAGGAGTCAACCAAAAGTGGTAACTGCTCCTGCGCAGAAGAGAAGCGAGACCCCTGCGGTAACTCGGTGAACTATAGCTGCTTGGTTCTTCTGCTCCGCGAGTACGGAGCACTGAGCGCGACAAGGGACCTTCTCCGTGATATAGAAGATAAGATCGAGAAGGAGGTGGTGCAGGTAGAGAAGATGACGGGAGAAGTGAACCCGATGATGAGGCGGCTCATCACAGGACTGCGTGAGGGATTGCTTCCGTAATTCCTCTCCTCCCTTCTCTATAGCCCATTTACATCCTACTACATATATACAGTTACGAAGTACATAACCAAGAAAAGCATTATAGAATCAATTATAAATATATTGACTCTATAAAATAAATATAAGATATAATATCCCCTCGAAAAATTCCCATCCCGAAAACTGAACTTCAACTCATCCAAAAAAAGTAGAGTTGAAAAACATGACCATTCCCGAGAAAATCCCATCCATTGAAAGCAAAAGCCACACCACCAATCCAACTATTCAAATCCAAATACCAAAAAAGAGGGACCATCCAGTTCTCAAGATTCATAATATCCAATGACGCGTGGAGAGTGAGGAAAAGAAAGAAAGATGGAATAATAGACCAAGGACAGGAATCGAGGTTCAATATTCGTTCATAGCAAAAGAATAAAAACGGTTCAAAGCGCCACGTACAACGCAGTTCACGGGCATACCTTCCCCCCATTGTTTTTTTTTACTTTTTTTGTTGATATCGAATTGACTTGCGAGGTAGGTAGATGGTATAGGGTAAGCGAGATAAGCGGTCACGGGTCCTTTTTCTCTGGTATGTTGGATTTGAAGGCTTGGGGATAGTCAGAGCGAGCATTGACTATCCCTCAAAAGTTTTTTGATTGACATTTGCAGATTGGCGGCTTAGTCTTGGGATAGTATTGACTTTGCATGGAATGGAATGGAAAAAACTCGGGTTTTTATCTCGTGGGTTCTTTGCGGTGGATCTTTACATGACCACGCAGCCGCCACCGGGGGAGCCGGCTATATTGTATTATAACTTCGTTAGTATGTTATTCTCTCTCACTAACACACCTCCCAGGGGTGTATTATGAAGGATATTAGGATGATAGGAAGGGGAAGGGGCATACCGCAAGAGACAGAGTCCTTAGCAACTTGGTAGGGAGACATGATGATTGATAGTGATTTGCGTTGCAAAAAGTTTTCTTTTTGGAATGCTGGTTTTCTTTTTCGTGATGAGGAGGAGAAGAAGAAGGTGAGATTTGGGGGATGGTTGAGGGGATTTATATAGATGTTTTCTTACTCTATCTTGCTTCTCCCTTGGGAGGGGGTTCTTTGATGTCTACATTGGTTCATGGTATGTGTCAGTATCTGTGCTGTGGAAAAGGCATTCGGATCCGGATTCATCTGCATGCTCATGATTCAGGTAGTGCGGTTGATTGAATTGAGGTGCATTGGATGTAGATTCATTCATTCATCATCATGCAGCAGTGTCACAGGGCCAATCCTTCTAGGGATAGGTGTAGATACCATTGCTGGTAGCTGATTTGATCGGAGATTGTCTAGACGATTGTCGGGCAATGCAGGAGAGAAATTTGATTGGGGCGTCCCAGTCAATACTATCTATGGCTCTATTGTTCCTGGTGAGGCTAGTTCGACAGAAGCTCTATCAGAACCAGGGCGGGAATGGATGAATACGAAAGGTACCGGATTGTCGCGGGTACCTGCTGAGATAGACTGTCTGCATCGGGAATCGATGTAACGCAGATGGAAGTGTTGTACATTGTGTGTAGGCAAATAAAGTCATGTGGGTGCATATTCAGTTTGAAAGCTGTAAGACATCTTTGACTGCAGGGCACACGAATAGCTGGAGCAGACAACATTATCGGCAATGGGAATCCCCGGATTTTCGGTGCATATACTTTATCGACGGGCGGTGGCACCCAATCAGAACCACCCGCTTAGTATTGTTCTCGAGAACAATATCAACATCAACCACACTTCATCTGCTTCAATCAAAGAATAAATTCATGGCTAGTATCCCTAACAAAGCTATGGCAATCCGCTTATCTCGTCAAATCAAATGCAATCAAGTGTAGATTGGCTCCGTAATTTCATTCAGCGTCAACCCCTCCTTCGCCACATCCTCCTCAATCAGGAACATCAAAGGCATCTCCACCAACGTGCCCTTGACCTGGCTGAGCAGTTCTTTGACTTGCCTGACTCCCTCCGGACCCGGAGGGAAGTCGTCGCGGACCACGTGCCCATACTTGTAGCGAGCAGGTCTGGACTCGTCCTCGCCATACGCCTGCTTGTCCGCGTTATGGAAGTAGTATCCGTAGAACTCCTTGTACGTGGCCCAGTTGCGCACGGTGTCATCCGGAACAGAATGGAAGACCTTGCGGAACACTTCCGTGTTCGTCCGAGCCCGCGTATTCCACATACTGTGTAGTGTATCCGCCAGCGGATCGGCGACAACCTGGCTCTCGGGTGACTCAAAGTCGGTGGTGTTGGGAACGCCCACTGGCTCAAAGTTGCCATCCGGTCGCTCCGGGTCCTGGGGTGGCAGCAGTCCCAAGTGCTTGCGGAAGAGCTGGCGACGAAGGGAGGCGGCGAACCGGCTGGCAGTCCAGGGCTGGCCGTTCATGCGGGACTGCACAGGGGTGTGGTCCTCAATGACGATGGCAATTTCCGAGTCGTGAGTTCCCAGCTGAGAGCGATCATTCAAGTTGGCCGATCCGACAATGGCAACACGGTCGTCGGCGACCATCACCTGCATCTTGTTAGTCCTGCACTTATACCATATCAATGCTAACATACCTTGGAGTGAACATAGAGCTCCTCGGTGACAAATGCATCAATCTCAGCCTCTGGAGGTCCATTCCAGGGGACATTGCGAATGTCCGGACCATTGAGCATGTAGCAGCTACTCACACTATCCCACTGGCCTGACTTGCCGCCCACCTGCTGGGCAGCCTGCTGGTACTGCTGGTAAGGCGCAGTGGTGTCGAAAGCTGCCCGAGGAGCACCGGGACCATAACTACCAGGGCCACCGGTCGCCACATCCTGCTGCTTGCGGGCATCCTCGTAATTGACGCCGCTCTGCTGTTCGGCCTGCATCAGCGGGCCACTGACATTGATGCGGTCGTAGTTACGCAGGTTATAGAACCGGATGTAGTCCATCGGGTTGAAACCTTCCTTGGCAATCATCTCCATGATGCTGCTACCTCCACGGTTGATGCAGTTGTACTGGAACTCCATGATCGCGCGAGTACCAAGGGTGGACTCATCGCTCAAGTCTCCGGCAAAGCAAGGAACGGAGGGGATCACGACAATGATCTTGAACTTCTCCCCAGCACGGGCTGCGCGCAGAATACGCTCCACAATGGCAACACCAATCTTGTTCTCCACCGGCTTCTGCGCATCGCCAGTCGCCGTGATGAAGAACTGGTTTTCAATGTAGATAAAGTGCTGACTGTTGCGAATGACCGCAGCGTACGCATCCTGAATAGAGTGTTCGGTCGGAGTGCCGTTACTCCACTTCGAGCAGCTGCGCACAATCTGGCAGGTCATGTTACCACGGGGCTGACTGGCTTGACGGCCATGAGTGGAGAAACGATCCTGGTACTGATGAATCTGGCCTGCCAATTCGCCGCGCAGGACGTTGCCGTAGTCCATGAAGTTCTCACGCAGACGGCGGGGGTTGAAGCCCCTCTCAGAGTCGCCATAACCGCCCGATGCATCGTGGATACCGCGGGTCTGCGAGTGATGGATCTCCTGGCTCGGAGGAGGCGGGTAGTACTGGGTCTGGCCTTGACTCTGGGCTTGGGTAGGTGTATGGCTCGGAGGCTGCTGCTGCTGCTGCTGGGGATTGTACGCCTGATAAGACGTCTGCGCAGTACCTTGGGCTGGCGGGGGACCAGGAGGGGGTGGAGGAAAGGAGTCACCACTGTACGTGTAGTGCTGCTGTGGGTGAGCCGAGTACGCGGGTGGCTCCGAGCTCTGCTGTTGCCAGCTGGGCTTCTCTTGACTGCCAGTGCTTTGCGTCTGGGGCTGGCTGTAGCCGGTAGGCTGTGCAGGCTGCTGTTGCCAGCTAGGTTTCTCCTGGCTACCGGTGTTTTGCGCCGGGGGTTGGTTGTAGCTGCTGGGCTGCGCAGTCTGTTGTTGCCAGCTGGGCTTCTCTTGGCTGCTCGGGTTGGGGGAGTGACTGACAGGGTAGCCACCCTGGGGTGCCGGTGCCTGCTGCTGCCAGGTTGGTGTCGCGGGGTTAGCAGTGCTGGGAGGCTGAGTAGCTGCAACTCCGGTCTGCTGCTGCTGCTGCTGCTGCCAGGTTGGTGTCGCGGGGTGAGCAGTGCTGGAAGGATGAGTCGTAGCAACCCCGGTCTGCTGCTGCTGCCAGCTAGGGGTAGAAGAGCTGCTAGTACTAGGCGGCTGGGCACTCTGCGACGGAGCTGCCTGTTGCTGCCAGCTGGGAGCGGGAGGACCAGGGTTCGCCCCCGGCTGGGGAGACGCAGCCTGCTGTTGCCAGCTTGGTGCAGGAGGGCCAGTGGCGCCAGGCTGAGGGGATGCAGGCGGCTTCTGAGCCTGACCACCCTGTTGGGGACCTTGCTGCTGAGGGCCTGAGGTGGGCCGGCCGTACAGGGACAATCTGGCGTATCTCGAGTTGTTGCGCGACTGGTACTTGGAGTCATAGATGAAGTTCCACCGCTGAACGAAGTGCTTCCTCAGATCTTCAACGACCGGACCGTGCAAGCTGACCGAGATGTCGGACCAGCCCATGCGAGAGGTGTCCTTCCGATCCAGCTGGTTCTGCTCCCAGTGGGCAACGTCGTGGAAGTCGCTCACTCTGGCGTTGTTGTAGTCCTGACCAGGGAAGACAATCTTGTTCAGGTCCTGGCCATGCACGTCCGCCAGTTCATGCTGATTGGTGTCCCAGCGGCCAAAGCACATATCTAGACCGCCCATGAAGGCAATGCGGCCATCAATGAGGCAAAGCTTTTCGTGGTGAGCCCAGTACAGAATGACATCCTCGTGCATGCCGTAGAGGCCCTTGATGGCATCTTCAGACATCTTAGCCAGGTTGCCGGCATCGAGAGATAGGTTCTGGAGAGACGTGTGGATGGACGCTTCGAGTTCCTGGCGGTCGGGAAGATGATCGGGGTGACGGAATACGGCAATGTTTTCGTGGAGATCTTCCAGATGGTGCTTGGTGTGATGGGAGGAAACTGCAAGTCAAATCAGCTGCCAGTTCATGCAAGAAAAGGACGAAGGAAACATACGGGTCAGTGCCTGGGTCACTTCCTTGTACACGATGATGTTCACCCGGACACCGCGCTGTGCTGCAGCCAACAGCATCCGATCCAGCCGGTACTGTTCGTGCTTCGCTGGGGGACGTCTTAGGTAAAGTTCCGGAGAAAGCCACCCTGAAATGCCTTGTTAGCCTCATACCCTCCAACACAGCGGTCCCTGGGATACCTACAGTCCAGAATCCAGATATACTCCTTGGCACTCTCCAATGCCTTGGACACCGCATAGAAGTAGGCACAACCATCCACGTGCCACTTAACCTCGTTACCCTGACGCGGGGATGCAAAGCTCCCGAAGCGGTTCTCCGTCTGCGGCTTTGGTGCGCCATACTCGGCATAAGCCTGGGGGTCGAGCGCGGTACCCAGTTTCTGTGCCACCTCATTGCCCAATTCCTCGAGCTTGCCAAACAAGCCGGAGAATTTGTCCTGCTTCTGGGGTTTCGACGGATGGGGTAGTTGTTGTTGCTGAGGGGGAGGGTGTGGCTGGGACGGCGAGGGACCTTGGGACTGGTAGGTCTGGTTCGAAGTCTGCGTAAGAGGAACGGGGCGGTTAGTACCGGGGATCGGGGCAAAGTGACCAGGTACAGGCAACAACTTTCACATACATTGTAATAGCTGGCAGACTGGGATTGCTGCGACTGCTGAGTCTGCTGGGAAGAGCCCTGTTGCGACTGGTGAGACTTGTAGGTCTGCTTGAGCTTCTTGAAAGTGTCACTCAGACCCCTGGAAGAGTCTCCGGAAGAGGCTCCCCGGGCCGAGTCCTGGTAGTACTGGCCATAGGCCAGGTCGTCTTCAGGGCGGGTCATGATACAGTGGGACAGAAAAACAAAATGGTGAGAAAAAAGAGGAGGTTATAAGATAGAGGTACTATGACATGAAAATCCTCGCAGAGGATTACTTTGGAGGTGGGAGACTAGCAAACCACCCAGGGGCGAAACAGGAGCTATTAGTAGTAGCAATGGTGGGGAGGGGAGAAGAGAGGGAAGAGGGAAGAGGAGGGGATCAGCCCAGTGGAGACCGACAGACAGAAGAGAAAGATGGATGATGGAGGGCGCGGCTGACGGGACTGACGACGAGCCCCGCCCCTCCAACAAGTCTCAAGTCAGTCAGTCAGTCATCCATTTCTCACTCCAGCTGTGTGCTCCAGGGAATCCACATTTAGGCTGCAATTATTATTTTTATGAATAATCCCGACCGGAGAATCCAATGACTGACTTCCCTGGTTGTTGCTTTTGCCCGGGGGTCACTAGACATAGGGCAACCCCTCCATGGCAATGCCACGAAGATCTCGATCCCAACTCATAAGCTAAACTAGTCAAGTCAGTCTAGTTTGATTCGGGGATGCAGGCTGGCCGGCTTAGAAGTGGGGAACCATTTGACTCGAATGTGCCGTTGATGTGGCTGTGCAATCCTGCCAAGTGTCTTCAATTAAGTCCAACTAGTGTGATGGAGTAGGGGTTTCACTTTGTGGCGGTCAAGCCCAGGCTAATACCTCCTGAGTAAGTAGGATGTTCTAACTTAATAACATTATAGTAGACATTTGGGAGGAGGCACGAATCCAACAAAGAAGAGACACGTGATGCTCACCCCGCTCGGAATGTTGTGGCTCAGGCGGATCTCTCGGCTGCCCATCCATCATCAGCCATGCATGCATTCCGACAATCATAGTTTCCCCGGAGCTTCTCGGAAAACAGGGCTGAACTGGCGAGGGGCCGTGACCACTTCAACTCGACGAACTATACTATCATTGGACTGGTAAAATATGTACATGGTGGTAACCAACCAACTCTACCTCGTTCTGATGCAGCGACGCAGGTACTCTCCCACGCGATCCACCTCCCCGAGCGCTACAACTATCCCAACATACCCGTCGGGCCGGACAACCAACATGGCTCCCTGATGAGGGTCCACCCCGTAGATTTCATATGCATCCTCCAGCTCGCTTCCATTGTAGAAGCGCATCTCCGCATGTTCTTTCACGCAACCCGGAAGGCTGTCCCATTCAAACTCTCTCGGGAACTGTGGGTGCACCACAATCTGCTCGATGACCCCTGCTGGGAAAGTATCCAGCAATGCAGACACATCCTGCAATGATCGAGCAGACACGCTTTGGGCGTTCAGAAGATCATTAGACGTGAGCGTGAGAACGCGGAACCGGCCTGTGGATGCCAGGTCTAAACGTGTGGCCATGGTTAGCATATGCAAGGGGTGGAGGGATGATGATACCAACCGTCCTGAATATCCCGGTGCCATCCATCCGCATGACGCCTTAGTTTCACGTTCAGCAATCGTCTGCCCGGTCGCAGTATCCCGGATAAGTAGTCGTCGCCCCGGATAGGGCTATCCTGTCCTTCCGATGTCGTTCGGTCAACGATCATACTCTCTCCGTATTCCACCCCGCAGCCGCTGGTGAAGCCGTTGCCGGTATTGAATGTGGCCACGAATTCCGCGTGCGACATGCCTGACTCCTCCGTGTTCAGTTGACCCGAGAAGATGGTAGAGAACTTGCGATCAAAATCAATCAGCTGCTGCGCGTTCGCATGCCGTTCCAGATGATAAGTGTCGAGGAGGGGATGTGGCTGGTCGGGCTCGGTAGACGATGGGCTGAGCCCGTGAACGTGGTAGACCAGCTTCCAGGCCAGGTTATACGAGTCCATCATGGACACATTCATCCCTTGGCCGGCCTAGACAACAATTAGCTGCGTCTCACGAATAGTTCGTACATAGTACCTTTGGACTATGAGTATGGCAAGCTATGATCATCAGCAAGTGGTTCTAGTCCTCAGTAAAGAGTGCACATACCATCTCCCACAATGAATACTCTAGGCACTCCAGTAGAGTCTTTGACAATGAATTCCGGTGAGACGCGCTGCCCAATCTGATACGCCGCCCACCAGTCGATTGATTCCTCGCTTTTCGGCCTCAGGTAATATGGCTTGAATGCGTCTGCTGCTTGCTTCAAGATTCCCTCCTTCGTCACCTTCTGCCTGCGTACCCTAGCATCATCGAATTCGGAAACTGGGGTAGCCGCTCCCACTATATCTCCATCGGGGTTTGCCATTCCAGGTACCTGGACATAAAGTCGCGTAAGATACTCACCCGTCACGATTCGTTCTCGTGGTATGACCATCACCGAGCCAGCTGGGGAATGGATAGCACATCGCCGGCGAATGTCAGGAAAATTCGTATCCACTACCAAGTCTATAACGCCCCAGATATGGTCGAGCGATTGACCCTCCAGCTTTAGTCCCACACACTGACGGACCATCGAGTGTGCTCCGTCTGCTCCAACGAGGTGTTTTGTGCGGATCAGTCTTCTTACCCCGCGTGTTTCAATCTCCGCCAGGACAGGGAACTCCTTGTCATCTTCATTCAGTTGGACATGGATCAATTTGGTGTCCCTTTGCACGCCTCTTTTGGAGTACCGCAGGAGGTCTGTCTCCATGATCCGTTCAATGCGTCCCTGATGTATAGTAGCTTCGTAGCGAAACCGAGCGGGGGGTATCACTTCGGGGACCACGGATTTCCGCTCAATGATTCTGGATGGGTCTGATGAGGTATTCCAAAAGGCAAACTGCCACATTTGACATGCTTCGTTCTCAATCTCGTCGGAAATCCCTAAGGTTTTGAATACTTCCAATGTCCGAGGTTGAACGCCATCTGCCTGTCCTGATTTCAACGTGCTTGGCTTCGAATCAATACAAAGGAGAGATTCGTCACTCAATCCGTATCTGGCCAGCAGAAGTTCCAGCATCAACCCCGAGGGTCCAGCCTGCATGTTGTTATCAACTCTCGCTCATGTATGTTGAGTGGCAACATCCATTGTCTGATGGGACTTACCCCAACGATGACAACCTCGTATCGTGCGACTTCATCGCTTACGGTAGGTTCGAACGGCGGAGTAAGTCGAGGTAATGGAAGAGCAAAGGAAGGAAGGACACGCAGGTCCCGCGACTTGGATGCGAATTCTGTAAATACCGGCATTTCGATGTGTGCTTGGTTGAATCAATCCCTTTGAAACATTATCTACGGCGGGCTTGTAGATCTTTATACCATATCTCATGGGAGAATATACACTCGGTTGTTGAATGCGGCATCGTCTGGAGAAACCCCACACACATCAATACCCCACAGGTGGGAAGAAGGCACACAGCGAGCGATGGGCGACCCGAGTGTGCCAGGTCCACCTGCATTATTACGCACGTATGGGGTTTTCAGCGATCGTGCCGGTTATGTTATAACCAATAGTACCATTGGTGGAACCTTTGTGTAATGCGTCGAACCGGATGGGATGAATATGTAGGCCATCTCGTAAGTGCTCTCATAATCCTTGTGTCAGCAGTCTGCAAGCCCCTTCGGTGTGTCGATCCACGGGGTCACCCCGCCACCCCGCAACACATCCCACATTTCGGCGGGGAGCCTGCACTAATGACCTCGGCATGAACCAGATTTGCTTTCTTTGCCGCCATATCTCTATTGATACTTGCTGTCTCCATTGGTTGTGCATAAATGTATTCCTATAGGATCGGTAATCAAAGAACGTCATTCTTCTCTAACTTCTTCCAGAGCCGTGCATAGCACAGTGGCAAATGTTTTCGAGATCGTCCAGCGCCCAAAGCGGTGCAGAAGATCAATCAGTCGATGTAGGTGATTTACATCTGCAAATGCAGAGTCTCCGAATGCCTGCCCTTGGGCCTCTTGCAACGCGGTCTCACTGCCCAGGAGCCGGATTTCTGGGGCATCGAAAGCTTTCAGGTTGATGGATTGCTGTTGGCCAATTCTCGTGAAGCAGAGCCATGCGAGAGCAGCCGAAAAGAGAGCCCCGGGCACATGTATTGCGGGTTCAGAGGAAATTCGCATCCTCTCGAGGTAACGCTGTATCAACAGCGCATGAACCAGGCACTTACTGGCATCCAGGGAGCCTGCCCACCCTTGGACCACGTGGTGAGATTTAGTGGCTGCTGCATGCCCATTACGACCAACTGCTCGTTCAAGCATGTCCATGTCGCTGTACAGAGACATGTAAATCGAGTGCCACAACACAGGAAGACTGAAAGGGTCCTCTTCCTCATCTTTAATGTATTGTGAGCTATATTTTCTCCACCAATGCATCAGTAGGCTAGATAGATCCTGAGATGTGCCTCTATTCAAGGTCCCTGAGAGGCGAGCCTCAATGACATGGGCATTAATACTCTCCAGCACACTGTAGACAGCGAACCTCGAATCATTCCCGGCGAAGTGAAAGTGATGGTCGGGAGTGGGGCTTAATTTAGTAAATGATGGTGACTCTTTATATATGTTGGCCCATCGGGCGGCTGTCGGAGCCATGAACATTGATTCAGAGGCTAACAGCGGATATTGTGTGAATCTATGCTTGCGAACCGGCTCATGATGCATCAGGCTGGCAAGCTCCGCATCGTGTATGTTCAAGGCGATTTCGACCCGTCTTCTCTGTTCCGCCTCGGCCCATCGGTGCCACTGCTCGATCAACTCTTGTTCGGTCGAACAGGAATCGAGGAACTGTCCATGGCCAAGAGTAGCGTATTTATTGGACTCACGTGTCCATCCCATTACAGTACCATGAAGGACATCCGCAAGGACCAAGTCCTTGGGCCTTCCGGACAATATTCCATAAGTCTGGCCCAGAATGGCCGCTTGGACCATCGACAAGGCATCCGGTCGACTATGAGCAAGAATGGACTCCCAGGAGGCCAGAATCGCTTTATTCAGTCGTTCAAATATCCTCAGGCCTTGTGCCACTGCATGGGATGACCCCACAAAGAAGCTGCCTATTGAGCAGATTGATAAGAATAGCAACGAATTTTCCGCAGTCGGACGAAAGGTGGGTGCATGTATAACCGGAAACAGGGAGTGGAATCGACTAAAGAAGAGCTTCGCAAAGAGATTAAGTTGCTCTGCGGATGGCAGTGCTTCATCATGCATGCGAGGCTTCAACCTCTGGGAGAGACCAGCTCTATAGTTGTCATCGGCATCGATCCTCCCTTGAGGGAACGAG